AAAATAACAGGTGGCTTGCACATTGGGTCTCTGAGCCAGCAGGAAATGCCCCAACGCATGCGGGGGGAAAGTCATTCAGTAAAGTATCAATCAGCAAGTTAGTCCTTGAAACAATGTAACAAGAAAATAGACTTGATTTACCTTCCCTTCACCTTGTCATCCGATTGCTGCTTTCTAAGTCAATGTCACCATATGGTAAAGATCCCAGCAAGTCCAGCAGGCTCCTCACCACAGTACAGCACCAAGCTCTGTGCCAGGAGGGCACCTCACTAACTAGCCCACTGTGCCCCCTTCTGCACCAACCAACCACACCTAGGGAAACTCTCTACAAGGAGGGGGGAGGAAACTTGAGACTAACCTTCTCTGGGTTGATTCAGAGAGAAACAGAGGCTGTCTGTTCTGTTTCTCACTTGCTGTGCCAGCCTCTCAGTTCCCTCCCTCTCTCTCTCCGTTCTCTCACTAGGACTGGGAGCTTAACTCTCTCTCTCCGCAACAAGCTGGGAGTTTAACATTCAAGTTCTGACTTGATTGCTTGGCTAGAATTTTTTTTTCCAATATGCAGATTTTGCCTCTCTCCCTCACATTCCCTGTCGGTCAAAGGAGAATGAGTCTTGTGTGTGTGTGTGTGTGTGTGTATTTTTTTTCCTGGCTGTGTTGGGAGGGGCAAAGTCCAGCAGGCTATTGCAGAGAGCACCTGTGTATATACACACTAAATACATACAGGTACACTCTCTGACACACACACACTGGCACTGACAGCAATGTCACCAGGGACAGACTGGCATCCTGGGGGAGCTAATTAAACTCACTTAAAGGGACTGGATAATGAAACTTGAACTCTGGGAATACACTCTACAGGATTAGATTGTGTCTATCTGGCAAATTCCATGTACATGTTTTGTTTTTGGATTTAATAATTACAAATTATTTATTGTTAGTGAAATATTTGGTTCCATGTATTGTTTTTTTTAATAGTTATTCATTTGACGTTGACAGGTAACAAGTAGGAGCCATACATAGTAGAGGATTGGCCATTTTGTGCTTTGTGATTGGAGATATATTCACTAAATGGAGAGTTCTGATGCTTTGAGAACCAACTTGCAAATTAAATCTCACGTGTTCCTCTTTAGTCATTATTTGGGGCCAAATTCCAAACAGCTTGTCCTTCTGTCTATCTTAACCTAGTATGTGTCCTAATTTCAAAGAACTCCAGCTTGTCTATAAGAGTGTGTAAAGAGATTCACAAGAATTAAGCTAATATATCGTTAACATACAATGAGTGTGTCTATAAATCAGTCTGTGTAAATATCATTTGCTCTTGTTGTAAATTGTATTTAGTTACGTAAATGGTCGACAGTGGGTTACACTCTAAGCACCAGAACCACTATAGCTTAACAGAGGCGTATGTATTGAAGACAACTCCTATGACAAGTACTAAAAATTTCACCCCTCACAGAACCTGTCCAAACATCTGACACCAATCTTTTAGATAAAGTGATGTTTGTGTATGTTGGCTGCATGTGATGTGCATGGGGCGAGCTGGCTGTATGTAATGTGTGTGTGCTAGCTGTATGTGATGTGTGCGGAGCTCCCTGGTGTTTGCCTTTCTTAAAGAAAGGTGGGCTATAATCCCTGGTGGTCCAATGCAGGGATCATACTCCCTGGTAATCCAACAGAGGTTAGCTCTGACGGTTTACGGCAGGTCCTGAGTCACTGAAGATCCAGCAGAGGAGTGTAAGGTTTGCACCACTGCCAGATGTAGACCTCAGTAATTGCTTCCTCACAGTTCGGCACTCAGCGAGTCAGAGTGCAAACTGGGAACATCCGCTGGCTGCGCTCTGAAGCACTAGAGAGCACCGGATATCAAGGAAGCCATTACAAAGAATGCAACTTCCAGAGGTGCAAACCTCATGCTGCCTGCTCTGATCCCACTAACCAAGTGAGCCCTGCCACTTATCCACAGCAGGGCAAAAACAATAAAATTAACTGTACACCCGGCCAGTGCTCAGTGGCAGCAGAGCCAGATTAAGGTTGCCCAGGGCCTTAGACAGGGTGCCAGATTGGGGCCCCCTCCAAGAATCCTGGGCTCTGTGTCTGTGAGTGTGTTGTGTGTGTGTTAGAACAAGTGTGTGTAGTGGATGAGAGTTGTGTTTGTGAAGGAGGCCAAGGCCTGTACGGGTTTCGAGCTGAGAGGTTTCATGTGTCTAGCATTATGTATCTGTGTGTGTAAGTGTGCATTTCTGACTGAGTGTGTCTGTGTCCCTGGCACTGTGTACGTGCCTGAACATCCTTGTGTGTGAATGTGTGTCTCTGTTTCAGTGTGCATGTCTATGTCTGTGTCTGGGAGTGTATGTGTGTCGGGTAGTTTTTTGCACTGTGATGTTTGTAAGTGGAGCTGCTTGTGGTTTTTGTGCGTTGTTTTTATGGTCAGGCTGTGTTTCATGTGTGGGAGTGAGTGACAGCTTACAGGTGGTAAGTGTGACAGGTTTGGGAGGGTGGGTGTGACAGAGTTAGATGGTGGATGAGTGTAACAGAATTAGGGGGTGGGTTTGACAGGGTGAGGGGGTGAGTGTGACAGTTGAAGAGGTGAGTGTGACAAGCTTAGAGGTGAGTGTGATAGTGAGTTATTCTGACATGATGAGGGGTGGTGAGTGTGATAAATTTGGGGATAAGTGTGGTAGGGCTGAAGGGTGAGTGTGATAGTGAGGGGGAGTGATAGTGACAAAATGAGGGGTGGTGAGTGTGACAAGGTTGGTGGGTCAGTGACCAAGGAAAGATGACTGAGGGAGTAGCAATGTATGGCGGCTTAGTGTGTGTGTGGTGGGAGGGAAATTATATGGATACGATACAATTTTTGGACGGGAGCGGGTAGTTCCGCAGGCAGGCCCGGACTGGCCATCGAGCATACCGGGCAAATGCAGAGATCACAAGATCTACCCTGTCGGCTCATGCAGAGCCGGTGATATCTGAGCGCCTTCATGGGCCGGTGGAGAGATCACAGGCACTGATGCACTGATATGCGGCTGGAGGGAGGCAGGAGAGGACCCAGGGAGCTCTAGCCAGCAGCTCCACCGGGTTCCTCTCACGAGGTTGGAGCGTCGCCGCGGTTACTTGCAGGCTAGAGTTCACTCACCACTAAGACCACCAGGGACTGCAGCACAGCCCCCCTCCATGACAGCACCCCCCTCCTCCCCCACCCCACTCACACACAACACCCTCAGACACACACAGCACTCTCAGACCCACATCACACTCACACTTAACAGCACCCTCGGGGACACACAGCACCATCACAAACACACAGCACCCTCAGACACACACAGCACCCTCACACACAGAGAGCACCCTCACACACAGACAGCACCCTCAGACACAGACAGCACCCACATCACACTCACACTTAACAGCACCCTCGGACACACACAGCACCATCACAAACACACAGCACCCTCAGACACACACAGCACCCTCACACACAGAGAGCACCCTCACAAACAGAGAGCACCCTCACACACAGACAGCACCCTCAGACACAGACAGTACTGTCAGACACAGACAGCACTGTCAGACACCGACAGCACCGTCAGATACAGACAGCACCGTCAGACACACACAGCAGACTCAGACACACAGCACCCTCAGACGCACACAGCACCCTCAGACACACACAGCACCCTCACACACACACAGCACACTCTCACACATATACAGCACACAAATATATTTAAAATAACCCTCAGTGAGTTAACAGACAAAGAAAATTAGAAACATAGAATGTGACGGTAAATAAGAACACCCTCACACGCAGCATCCCTCTTACACACACTGCATCCCTCTTACACACTTGCTGTACCCTTCACACATACACACAGCATACCAACACACTGCGCCCCTCACACATACAATATGTCCAAACACACATACATATATATATATATACATACATACTACAGCACCCCTCACACTGCACCACTACACACATTACGCTCCAGATACACTCTAGGTCCCTTACCCTATATACACTCTGAATCCACACACACACACACACAATCTCTTATACACACTCTGGGTCCTTTACACACTCGATCCCTTACACACGCTACATTCCTTACATACAAACTCTGGATCCCCTATGCACACACTAAATTCCTTGTAAGCAAACACACACAACATTCTTTCAACACACACTCTCTACAACCCCTACACACACTACATCACCTATACACACACACACACACACACGCACTACAGCCCGTATGCACAGACTTGCTACATCCCCTATACACACTATGCCCCCTATACACACACTCTCTTCAGCCCTTGACCACACATATTACACCACAAACATGAATAAAATCGACCTATTTACACAATACCACACCACACCACAATCAACTCACTCTACACACACGCAATGTCACAAGCAGGCTCCAAACACATGCATGATACGCTTTCCTGGCCCTTTTGTCCTCTGGTATCCCACTTCTGGAGACACCAGAAACAAGTTAAAAGCAAACACAGTGCAAATATGTTATTACATTTGCTTGCGCTGCGCTGAACAAATACAGGGCCTTTTTCTCATGCTAAAGCTCTTCAGCGGGGCTCTGCACATTGAACCAACATGCTCACTTTTAGAGAGGGCTGCTTGTCATTAGTGATGACAAAACTCACCCTCTCTGGCCCCACCACTTCTCAGGGGGGCGCTGTGATTGAAAAATGCGATCCTGTCCGCAGGAAGCTACTACACAAAATGCAAAAGAGCTGTAATCATTTTTTTTAATATAACATAGGTCTGGTTGGCATCTAGCACAGCTGCAGGCCTTCCAGTCCAGTACTTTGTGATGACATCAGAGTGAAGGTTGGAAATCCTGGCGCTTGCACTCTGACTCTCTCACAAAATGCCTGAACCGTGAAAGAATGCTGCTGCACTATGGACCACCATGGAGTAATTTTTAAAGGGCTTTGCAGTGACCATAGGTGTACGCAGTCTATTACATTAGGGTGTGCACCCTAAAGCACAAACACACACGTCGTGTATATATGTGTGTATATATATATATATATATATATATATATATATATATATACACATACTGCTGTGTGTGTGTGTGAGGGTGCTGTTAGTGCGTGTGTGTGTCTGTGCTGCCATGCCTGATCCCTGGTGGTCCTAGTGAGTGAACTCTAGCCTGGAGGGCTAGAGTTCACTCTCACAAGATCTGAGCGTGGCCGTGGCAACGCTCCGACCTCGCGAGAGGAACCCAGCGGAACTGCTGGCTAGAGCGCCCCAGGTCCTCTCCTGCCTGTGGGCTGGTGAACAGGGCTGGACCGGGACAAAAAGTCAGCCCAGGCAGAGCAGCCCACTAGGAAGGGTGGGCCTGAAATGTGTCACGTTATATCGCCACCACTGACAAGCACCCCCCGCCCTCCCAATTGTTATGTTAGTGTGATACCCCACCAGAGCATTCAGTGCTGTCTGATGGAGAAAAAGTCCTAGTGACTTGTCTCTGGTGTCTCCATTAGTGGAAAAGGATTGTTAACGGGTGTTTTGCACGTGTGGGAATCCTCCCTGCGGTGTTTATATGTGTTTGGATATTTTTTTTATGTGATTGCATGTGTGTATAGGAGACCGGTTATGCTGTAGAGTGTAAAGGGGTCTGTTTTGTGGTGTATAATATGTAGCTGGGGCCTGTAGTGTATAGGTGTGTTTTTGGGCTGTATATTATATATGTGTGTATGTGTGTGTTTATAGGGTCTTTAGAGTGTGTGTACCTAGTGGTGTGTTGCGTGTGCATGTAAGGACTGTATTTCATGTATCTAGGAGTTGCAGAGGATGGCATTGTGTATATGCGTATAGGTGTCGTGCACATGTGTGTATTGGTGTGGTAATAATAGGGGGTGTAGTGTGTGTTTAGGGGAGTTGTGTGTGCATAGGGGTACAGTGGGTGCACATGAGGTGTATATCGGCATAGTATGAATGCAGTGGTGAGGTGTTTATAGGGGCATAGAGTGTGTAGTGCTTTTGTGTGTGTGTGTGTGTGTGTGTATGCAGTGTAATACGTGTGTTTATAGGGAGTATAGAGTTTGTGTAGTGATTGAGTGCAGTGTATAGGGTGTATAGAGTGTGTGAGTGCAGAGTATGTAGTGTGTATATAGGGGGTATATACACCCAGGGGTGTAGTGTTATGTATAGGGGGTATAGTGTGTAGGTGCAGTGGGTGTAGTGTTATGTATAGGGGTATAGTGTGTAGATGCAGGGGTGTAGTGTTATGTATAGGGGTATAGTGTGTAGGTGCAGGAGGTGTAGTGTTATGTATAGGGGTATAGTGTGTAGTGTGTATATAGTATGTGTAGTGTTATGTATAGGGGTATAGTGTGTAGGTGCAGGAGGTGTAGTGTTATGTATAGGGGTATAGTGTGTAGGTGCAGGAGGTGTAGTGTTATGTATAGGGGTATAGTGTGTAGTGTGTATATAGTGTGTGTAGGTGCAGGGGGTGTAGTGTTATGTATAGGGGTATAGTGTGTAGGTGCAGGGGTGTAGTGTTATGTATAGGGGTATAGTGTGTAGGTGCAGGAGGTGTAGTGTTATGTATAGGGGTATAGTGTGTAGTGTGTATATAGTATGTGTAGTGTTATGTATAGGGGTATAGTGTGTAGGTGCAGGAGGTGTAGTGTTATGTATAGGGGTATAGTGTGTAGGTGCAGGAGGTGTAGTGTTATGTATAGGGGTATAGTGTGTAGTGTGTATATAGTATGTGTAGGTGCAGGGGATTTAGTGTTATGTATAGGGGTATAGTGTGTAGGTGCAGGGGGTGTAGTGTTATGTATAGGGGTATAGTGTGTAGGGGGTGTATATAAGGTGTATAGTGTAGTGTGTGTAGGTGCAGGGGGTGTAGTGTTATGTATAGGAGTATAGTGTTTAGGGGTGTATATAAGGTGTATAGTGTGTGTAGGTGCAGGGGGTGTAGTGTTATGTATAGGGATATAATGTGTAGGTGCAAGGGGTGTAGTGTTATGTATAGGGGTATAGTGTGTAGGAGGTGTATATAAGGTGTATAGTGTGTGTAGGTGCAGTGGGTATATAGGGTGTAGTGAGTAAGTGGTGGGGTATAGTTTATGTATATATTTTGATTGTTTCATTATATAAATAAAATTAAAAAAACCTACACCACATTTACTCCCCTTTCCCCCTGTTACCTTATTACCTTTGCAGGGGGGGAGAGGGAGCATGCTGCTGGTCATCCCTGGTGATCCAGTGGGCTAGTGATGTGGTCTGTACCTCCGCAGGGTACCTCCGCAGCCTTTCCCTCGTGAGAGCTGGAGTTTCAGAGCGTTGCCGCGGGTTACCACGGCAACGCTCTGAAAATATCGGAGATCGCGAGAGGGCTGCCCTGCGTGCAGCCTGGAGGCCCTTTGCTCCAAATGGAACGGAGCTCTTCAGAGCCTCTCTCGGGGCCAATCTGTTGTGCTTGAGCCGGCAGGGGAGATTTTTTGATCTTCCCTGCCGGCCTCGATCCATGCGCGGCGCACGGGGATTAGGGTGTGCCCAGGCACACCCTGTGCGCACGCCTATGGCAGTGACATCTTTTGATCACCCTACCAGTTCGAGGGGATGTCTATCCGGCTTTGATGTGATGCCACCTTCAAGTGGCACCTTGGGCATGTGCAATGCTTTCCATACCCTAGGTACGTCACTGCAGCTTAATGCATCTGTATGAGGAGGTGCTGATTTGGATCAGAGAGGCAATTGCCATGCATTACATATAGCTTCTAAAGGCTTGCCTATGGGTTGTTTTTTAAAAAAAGGCATAGGAGCTGAAGTGCATTATATGTTTGGAGTGTTCCTTTAATACGTGTTTGAAGGAACACTCCACCCCTAGAGGTAAGCTGAGACTCAAGGGTCTCCTTGAGTTTCAATTAAGTTGTTATGGTTCCTGGATTGATCCTTTAAACATATCTACCATATTTGTTTTGTTTTGCATCTACACACTGACGACATTGACTTTTACCACATCCCAGAGTGGAGATTGTACCTGAGAATTATATTTTCCTTGCAAGTTATCTCACCATTGATCAGGAAGAGAGACCCCTAGTTTGATTGTGTTGCCGACTATCCCTCAGTAGCCATGAACTGTACAAGTGCTTGCTTTTTTGTTATTTTTTGCGATACCTCCCAAGTGCTCCTATTTAGGAGGCACAGTCCCTATTTCGGGCCCAAATCCATCTGTCCCTCTTTTCTATCCTGATGTCCCTGTGTTCTAGGAGTTACATATTGCTGGTGTGTCTGAGTGTTTGACAAAGCTCCGTAGCTGTAATGCTCACAATATAGTATTAGTTTAGAAATAAGTCTGTGTAAGTTAAATTACATTGTTTATGTTCTAAAATATATTTTAGTTGTATACATTGTTATTAGCAAATCACCTAAACTTTCTCAGAACAGCCCCGCCCCTGGTCACACCCACACTCACACCCATAAAATTAAAGTGTCCCTATTTGTCCATTAGATATGTTGGGAGGTATGCTTCAAACTAAATGGCTGGTTATTGTAATACTGATCACCCGTACCACACAGTAAGTAAATGCATACCAGGCTGATGGACCATGCATGATATATTTATAATAATATATATTAATTATAATGTACCTTAAACATGACTAGTTACTGTTAAAGAGGATCAGCAGCTCTACACTGCCCCCTGTAGTTGAAGACTAACAACTGTTTCAAATTCAATGCTGCTCTAAAGAGAGTCATGCAGTTCCTTATTGAAATAATTTATTATATTGCTTTACACCTCAGGTAACTGAATGCTTTCAGCATTTTTGGCCTAGTTCTTATAAATTGGGTCTCTGTTATACTAACAGCCCCCAGGGTCTGTGTTTAGGGAAGAAGGAAATAAAAGCATATTTATGTGAGAAAGCAAGTCATTCAGCCATTTATGGGAACTGCCCCTCTACGAGAGGTGTAGCCATCTGCACAAACAACATACCTAAACGCACACACCAACTAATTTCTGTGAATAAGCACTCTGTACACTACAGTCCACTATGAAATTTGCCTATTACAAAAACAATAAATTATTTTATTGCATATATTATCCTGGTTGGTTCCTTTCTACTGAGATGTACTGAAAATTGATATATGTCCTCTGTGCTTTCTTTCAATGCCTGATTATTTACACCGAATATGTGTGTCTTCAAGTTTTGTTTTAAACTGTTTATTTTTTATAAGTTTTAAGATGGGGGGCAGACATCAACAAGAGGACATAGTCTTAAATTAGAGGGGCAACAGTTTAAAAATAATATCAGGAAGTATTACTTTACTGAGAGGGTAGTGGATGCATCGAATAGCCTTCCAGCTGAAGTTGTAGACGTTAACACAGTAAAGGAGTTTAAGCATGCGTGGGATAGGCATAAGGCTATCCTAACTATAAGATAAGGCCAGGGACTAATGAAAGTATTTAGAAAATTGGGCAGACTAGATGGGCTGAATGGTTCTTATCTGCCGTCACAGTCTCTGTTTCTATGTTTCTCATACAATACAGAGAGCTCATACAGTAAAACAAGCTGGGCACAACATAAAGATATCTATAAAATACATAGAGCTGAGTACAATAGAGAGATAACCATACCACAAACAGAGCGGAGAAAACAATAGAGACAATACAAAGATACCCATGCAATACACAGTGCTCTAGAGACTACAGAGATACCCATACAACAGGTAGAGCTGAGCAAAATACAGAGAAATAACACACAGAGCTGGGCACAATAAGGAGATACCATAACTATCCCACACAGCCAGGATTACTGTAATGGAAATTTTGTTTAAAATTAGATCATTACAAATACAGTGAGGGAAAAAAGTATTTGATTGCCTGCTGATTTTTAATGTTTGCCCACTAAGAAAGAAATGATCAGCCTATAATTTTAATGGTAGGTGTATTCTAACAGTGAGAGACAGAATAACAAAAATATATTCCAGAAAAACGCATGTCAAAAAAGTTATACATTAATTTGCATGTCAATGAGTGAAATAAGTATTTGAAACACCCTTCGATTTAGTACTTGGTGTCAAAACCCTTGTTGGCAATCTTCTAGTTGGCCACCAGGTTTGCAGGAGGGATTT